GGACATGCTTCTTAGATTTGTTCCACGAGTGGTGATTTACGTGGGGCATGTTTCATTTCAACCAGGCTAAGCCCCATAAATATCAACCAAATGACGTTAAGTGCTATTTTGTGTAGGATATTTAGAAGGTGGTACATCATCGTCCAAGTGAAACTTTGGTGATTATATTGCATCATGCAGATGCGGACATACTGCTGTTGAGTGCGCGTTACGTGAAGTTCGAAAGTATAAACTTTATTACGGTGGTATGTGTTTTCAGCGTCCTGGAAAACCTTGCATCGATTTTGTTACATAATCGCAAAGTTCAGTGTATTGCGATGTACAACATGAGGTATGGTATTTATAGTATTTAATTGCTTTGCCTAATTAGAGCATCATCAGCGTACGAGCTGGGAAAAAGGTTGTGTGTTTTAGTCGTTAATGACAAGGACATTTCGAACCGCTCTTCTGTAAAGACGTTCCGTTCTACATATTTGTAAGCCGCATGCGTCTCCCCACGTGACGCAGCAGCCATTAAGATAAGGTGATTTTAGAGCATAATGTAGCAAAGGCAGTGGCCATGCTTGGTCCTTAACAATGTTTTTGCTACTTAAATCGTTAAACAAGGGGACTTCATATCCCTACACCGTAAACGCCACCATCGCAGTGCATTCGATTAGCTTCACGTTAGTTTACGTGCGCACTGAAGTGTCCATGATGACAACGTGTCTTCCAAAAACCTGTCCTGGACCCGCCTCTGGTCAAGACTGAATCATGTAAAATTGAAGAGGGTGCAAAATAAAAGTAAGGAAAAATCAATAAATGGTCGAGGTAATATAGGTATGGCTGGCGAAAAACTGGAGGTACCGATTAATGTCCCATGTCAAGCAAATAGGATTAAAAGTCGCAGATTCATTAATCAATGATGCTCACACATTGGCCATTCACAGCCGCTGCTAAGTGCAATGTGTTGTTTAAGTACCTGGTGGCATATTGACAAACAATTATGTACCTTCTTGGCTCCCAGGTAGAGTCTGTCGCGTTCGCACAGTGGCCTGACAAGGACAAGCGCTTCGCTATTAATAACGTTTCTAAAAGCAAAATTCCTGGAGTAGGAGGGAGCGCTGGTGTTCTCATACTTTGTCATTAAGCCATCAAAATGTCGGGAATGATAAAGAGATTGGATCCGCCAGTGTTTTATTTACGCTCAAAGAAGTCACGCTCTCTTCATTCACAGGGAAGATTTCTTTTTGGAGCGGTGACTTCCTTGTGTGGCAATAATGCTGCAAAGTTTGGACTTGAGCGTTGGCCTTAGGGTGCGCTAGCACGCGATGGCCGTTCTGGCTTTATGGCAGCACGGCAGGCCATCGGCTTGTAGCGTCGTCAGGCTGTCAGGTTACCGCGTCGGCAGGCCATCGGGTTACGGCGTCGTCAGGCCATGGGGTTACGGCGTCATCAGGCCATGGGGTTAGGGCGTTGTCAGGCCATGGGATTGTAGCGTCGTCAGGCCATTGACTTGTAGCGTTGTCAGGCCATCGATTTGTAGTGTCGTCAGGTCATCGGGTTGTAGCGTCGTCAGGCCATTGACTTGTAGCGTTGTCAGGCCATCGACTTGTAGCGTCGTCAGGCCATCGATTTGTAGCGTTGTCAGGCCATCGACTTGTAGCGTTGTCAGGCCATCGATTTGTAGCGTCGTCAGGCCATCGACTTGTAGCGTTGTCCGGCCATCGACATGTAGCGTCATCAGGCCAGCGTGTACGGCGTCGTCAGGCCAGCGGGTACGGCGTCGTCAGCTCAAATGATGCAAAAGTGGCAACACTGTCATTTCCTGGTCATTATTGAGGTGCAACCACCTTTCCGGAATCATACTTACATTTCAGTCCATTCAAATTAAACACTAAGTTAAGGTCTATAAAATTCAAAATTCACTTCAGTAGAAACAAGCAAATGCCGCTCATAAATCCAATGCCTTTGACAACTTGTTCAGCCCAGAGCATCGTCAAATGCTAGCATGAACTGAGACCGACCACTGTGCACAGGAGTATACCTTCTTAAAATGAAAAGGCTGGGATGGGGTAGGGGGAGTGGGACTAATCAGTAAAAAATGTCTCAACCTGCCCCGAAAATGCGCCAACAAGCGGGTTTCCCTTCGGACTTGGTCCATTTTCTTCCCAAAGATGGGGAAACTGAAGAGAAAACTTCGTCCTTGGTCGAGCACGGCGAAAAGGGCCGGAGTCTTGTCTCGGGGCTGCCGTTTGTCTTTTGAGATGGAACAGCGTGATGCTGCTCCCGAAGAACTGTGGCACTGACACCTATTTTGACCTGGTGGACAACATTTTGACAAATTCTGGTCGCACATTTGAAGGACACAATGGGTTGGTCATGACCTCCCCCCCCCCCCCTTCATAAAGCTGATTCGACTTGGAACACTGCGGCTTTAGTCGGGCCGGGGTCACTATGCATGTTTGGCTCATTCTGCACGATGAGCCCAACGTCGGCGGTCAGACTTTATTGGATGGTCTTATGAGCTGCTTCGCGGCATAAAGAGTCCAGCGTCAGCTTACAGCACTCTCCGTGCTACCTGAAATAAACGTGGAGCAGCAGCGGCCTAATAACCGTCGCCAGGAAGAATGGTCCCCACTAGCACGCCGGACGAGGGCAGGCAGTGCGCGATGGGTGCTCTCTCGCAACTACATGCGCATGTGAGCAAAAGAATAATCGCGCAGCTAGGGAACAGACCAAACCAATCTTGATCCAATCATGCTTGTGTTTAAACACCAGTCAATCTCTCAATATTTCGGCGAAATTCTGGTCGTGCAGCTCAGGTGAAGCGTGTCTGTGTGTGTGTGTGCGTGTGTGTTTCGTAGGTTGTTGTTATTGGGGTTTGGTGGCACGCTCAACAGCCCAGGGTACTTAGCATCGAAACATTCCTCGCCGATTTCCACGGGGGGCGATAAAGCTGCGCACAGGCACCCTGGCTCCATCACCACATCTCACAGTTGTGAGTGAGCGTGTTTTTTGCCGTGCAGGCGAGAGCCTTTTCCCGCATGCCATGTATACCATGTAGTGACATCTTTTTTAACAAATGCGGACAGTGACTCACATCACCATCCCAGTAGTATTAAATGGATTAAGCCTGCCTAAAGATCATGTCTAGGTTTAATGAGTGGAAATACATGGCATACTCACCTGATCCATCGTGCAAGTTTCTTTCACCAAGGGCTTTCTCTTCACGCTGTGTGCATTCAGCTTACTTTTTTTATTTTACTGTGGGCCAGATAGCAAGCACAATATTGTGACAGACTTCCATTACGGTGGTGGTCAATGCTTCACTTATGCAGGGTTTATTGGGTTAAGGATCTGCTTTGTGGAATCAAAAAGGATGGCACATTAGAGAAGAGTTAAGAATGGAAAACAACTTCTTGGCTGGGCGAAAATCCTGTCATAAGGTTGTCACGAGCAGAAACGTTGCACGCTCTTTATTTACTTTTGGGGGGCGGGGCACTCCCACCATCACCAGGTCAAATTCCAGCTAGACACGGAGGACCTTCCAGCCTTGTAACTTGATGTCCTTTACATTTGACCCGCTCCCCACGACCCTCCGACCTGGGCAGCCCTGACACGACCCCCGCCGGCGCAGGGCCGGCGTGCCGCTCCGTGGAGACGCTATCTCGCCTGGTCGACGTCGGCATGACCGTGGCCCGGCTGAACCTGTCGCATGGCTCTCACGCGCACCACGCCGAGAGCGTGACGCGGCTGCGTGAGGCGTGCACACGCAGCGGGCAGCGCTGCGGCCGGCCGGCCACCGTCGCGCTCGCGCTGGACACCCGGGGGCCGGAGATCCGCACTGGTACTGTCGCGGGTGAGGTGAGACCTCCAG